AATATAAATTCATGTATGTAACCTCCTGCCTTCCTTGAGATCGCCGGTTTTAGGCTCAGTCTTTGATAGCACAAGACTTTGTCGAGCTTCTATAATTTCTACAAATATTCTATAATAAATACAAATATTTCTTTAATACTTATTACATAAAGAAGTAATATGTTTACATTTAAAGATGTAACAAGAACGATTTTTTTTTTTTTTTTTTTTTTATTGAAAAAAGAAATACATTTTGCCTCGATTCAGGGCATTGAGTTCGGGATGAAAGAAACAATCATACCATATATACAATAAAATAAAAAGAATAAGAAAGTTATAATAAAAGAAGAAAAAAAAAGAAAATTTCTAATAACAGAATAAATCAAACATGAGTCAATATTAAACATATATATATATATATATATATATATATATATATATATATATATATATATATATATATATATATATATATATATATATATATAAAATTAAATACACATCCATACTTATTTACAATAAAGGAGCTGAGGAGGCTCCGATTCCGGCCCTTTCCTCCACGTATGGAAGATAAAGCAGGACTCCAAGAGATCCCAGTACTTCTCTCTCAGCCGCGTCACTAGGTGGGGAATCCAGTTTAGACTAAGAGAGGGCACTAAAGCCACATACACTCATGGCTTGTATGGAGAAGTTGGCCATTGCCTGGACTCCAGTGACGTTGTTACAAAAGCTTCACTGCCGTTTTAACCTTCTAGGAGGATTGTAGGGATGACTGGAACTGGATAAGGATTGTGCTAAGGGATGATTATTAGGGGATAGATATGATATGGGTATTAGGTCGTGATGAAAATTTGAGAATCGGGATGGAATAACGTCAACGACATAAGGGATGTTAAGGTCATGATTATGTTCGTAACATAGTAAGGAACATTCGCCATTAAATGGAGAACTTTAGACTGAAAAGATTGGATGCGTTTGATGTTCGAAAATTTAGTTGTCCCCCACAGTTCAAGTCCTTAAGTCCAGATGGGTTTTAGTATGATCTTGTATATTAATAGATGGTTTTAATTGAGAAGTTAGATTTTCTGTTAAGTAGTATAACTGGCAAAATTCTCGGTTAAATGTTCTTGTCTTTTAATTCTGGTATATGGGTTCCGTGTTAGTCTCTTGTCTAAAAGGAATCCAAGATACCGAACTATGTCTGAGTTTAGGAAGAGGTATTGAGTTAAAAAGGATATGCGGACAGGATCTGTGTCGGAGGGTAAAGGTGACATGCTTTCATTTGGATTCATTGATTTTGATGTTGTTGCGCCACTGCTCTATAAGGGAGATGTGTTTAGGGAAGCTATTTCAGGGTCTGGATGGTTTGAAAGAATGGCGGTATCGTGAAGAGCGAAAACTAAATAAAAAATTAAATTATTATATTTAGGTTTTCGTTGAGAAATTCTTAACAAAATCTTACTTTCTCAGATGGTAGCAAATGATGAATCATTTATAGTTGTTCTAGTTTCGACGCCATAAGACTGAAAACCAACAGCGTACTCATTTTTTTATATCTGAGTTATATAAAATGGCATTAAGTAAGCATCCTGGGAAAAACTAGAATAATGGGTATTTTCCTGTCTTTTTTCTAGTAGACATATTTAATTTAAACGAAACTAAAAAAAATTGTGGTTATTCACATATTAAAAGATCATGCAATACCTTCTTCTTTCCTCCTGATTAATAAAAAAAAATAAATGAAAATATGAACAGCAAAGCCAAAGTGTAAAAAAAAAAAAAAACATTCTAGTTAATTTGTTTAAAGTGTAAAAATAACTGTAAACGATTTTCACAATTTCTATCACAAGCCTCAATTGCCTCACATGTTGATCGATGGAATAATTAAAGAAAACTGGATGGTTTCTGTTGATAAATCGATAATTATATCGACAGGTGGATGTCGATTGGAGTTGAGAAATTGATGAGGCAATCAGTAACGAAGCTCATTAGTTTTCTGTTGTCTATGAACCTCAGTGTACTACTGTCTCTCATGATAAATTTCTTAAGAAGGCAATCTTTTATTAGATATATATTACGTTGATATTTGTTTTCGTTTGGCTCCAAAAAACAAAACAAGATTCGATGGAAAATGCGATTTTACAGCTTTTCTTATATTAACCAACTATTTTTTATATCAGTTTTGTCTAATTCCATCCACTATTTTCTTAGACACGCCTTTATTTCAAAAACAGCTCGATCGGTTCGGCTTAGATTTACAGATAAGTTTTGGGATTTAAAAAAAATTATCTTTTAATTTATATATGCGTATCTTCCTCGATATGTCTATGTCTTAAAAATCGCACGTTCGATTTGACCAAAAGTATCAATGTATCAATTTCATAAAAATGCTATTAACAATTAAAACTAATCTACCTAACTACTAATAATTAAATGGCTAGAAAAAGTGTTAGGCAGTGAACATATGGGAAGGTTTGTTTTATTTATACTATAGTTTTTATACTTTAAAGTTATATTTTATGAGTTTTATTTTTTTTATTGATCATCAAACCTATCTACTTTGGTTCGATTTTGTTTTATATAAGTGTATTTGTCTTTAATACAATTATTTAACTTTATTTTTCTTTATCTTATCTTATCTTTTATTTCTTATTAGTATTATTTAAATTATTTATTTATATTTTTTGTATATATGAGTCTGTCTGAATTTATTCTTTTAACACTGTTATTGTCATTGACTGAGATATGAAATTATATTTAAAAAGAGGGATTTATATTTAAAATAAATCGATTCGATGATATTTTTACAGGATTTTATGAAATTTCATCAACTTCTTTTGATTAGTCACTCGTTAACAAAACTATACTTAAAAAATAGTTTTTCTATATACACATATTACAAGGCTTACGTGCAGATTTTAGATGAAGATATCAGGATAAAAAATGTGATCGTATAAACCACTTTTACAGCTTTAGCTGCGGTTATTTCTTTGAGTTTGTTCCTGATTCATTAATTTACTTTTTAAAGAAATGTCTTAATATTCCTGATTCGCTCAATTTTATTATTTCTTCTAGTTTTTCACCTGGATAGGGTGAGAAGGGGTAAAGTTTAGATTAGCATCCTACAACTCAATAAAGGAGCCCCTAGTGAGTGTACTTTTCCTCCATTTGGTTTAGCCTAGTTATCGTTCTCCTCCTTCCTTCCCGGTGAGACTCCCTCAGGATGATGTTTGGCTATTCCGAACTGGAGAGGAGACGAGAGTTGCCAGTTGGAACTAAGTTAGCTGACAATGAAGGCGACCAACTTGACTGAGGGGCTGATTCCCAAACTTGACTTCTCAAACTTTCTCGCCCTTTTTACTGCCAACTGGTGTCCCCAGTTCTAGGGGGTCTATCTCGATATTGCCACTCCTCAATTCCTCTCTTATCTTTTCTTCGGCTGTTCTTCAGAAGTTGGAATTCGAATCGTTTAGGGAAATTAAAATAAATCACTACCATGACAAATAGTCAGAATATGCAGTATGCAGTATTGGTTTTTAAACTTCCATACGTTTCGAATCAAACATGTTGGTGATCCGAGTAAAAATAAAGATAAAAATTCAGAAAAATGGTAAATAATTACTATTATTTTTATAATAATATTATCTCATTTCTGTGTCTCGAAAGTAAAGTGCACCATGTCCATTTTTATATTAAATAATAAAAATGGACATGGTTTTTCCATTGATTCTTAGTAACTAAGAAACACATTTTAATAGCTTAAAGTTATTGAAAATTGACTCCGCGAACAAATACAAAAATGTACTTTAGTGTCCTTTACCGGGGTGCAGACTTATTAGAGTGAAATATAGAGCAAACTACATTAATATTGTACGGTTGCTCAACTATGCTAAATCACACAGCATTCTCATCAAACAATAGATGATATTATCAGAAAAAGTCTGGCAAGTAAGGTCAGTATAGCTTCTTCACCGCTTTCATTTGCTAAAAAATATCTATAATAAAAGGTCTAAAAATTTTCTTATGAGATTAAATCTCTGGAAGAAGCCGTTTTCGGAAATTCAGTAATCCCTCAACGTATACGTGCTTCATATCCACGAGTTATGTTTATCAGCAAATATAAAAATGCAAAAAAGATCCGCATTTCCAGATTGCATATTTGATAATTCGTAATTAAAAAAAAAAATCCAGTGCATACTGAATATATTTCTTGTTACTGTTAGTGCAAATGTCGTATATAAAAATTGAGCCTTTTTACATGAGAGCACATTATTTCTTTATGATTTATTAGTATAATTTTATATTTTATTGCTCTCTGCTATTTTTTAAAGGAGTATACTACTTATATCAATTCTTTTTTTATAGTGCTACCAGTGGGTAGTTTCTCAACATTTGTTTTCATGTTTTTATTTTCTGTTATCACGTTTACTTAATGTATAATGTCAAAAATAAGAGAGACTTAGTTCACACTATTGGAAGACATAACAATAATATGAAGAACGGTTTAGAGAATCAAATACACGAAGGCGAAAATGTGGTGAGATGTACGAGGCATATTTGGTGATGGAGGATTCCTAACAAACAGACTTCCTAAGTGACAAATTCGAATAGGTCAAAGTTATTGAAAATTGGCTCCTCAGAACAATTACAAAAATGAATATGGTATTGTTGTTAATTGGGGTTTTAAAGCGTAAAACATCGAGGTCATTAACGATGGATTTGGTGTTATTTATCTCCAGGATACAGATTTGTACTTTCTCTATTTTTATCTTGGCCTTGAAATAGATAAAAATTAGCATTATGAATTATTTTCATTTTTCACAATCAGTGTTATTTTTGGAATGATTTTAGGTGAAAAAACAAAACAAAAAATCCATATGGATGCCCTCTAGTAGTTTTGTATTGTTATTATTATTATTTTTTTTTTGTTATGTTTCAGAACAAATGGGAATCTGATTTTATAAAAACAACAGATACTTGATACTTTTTTTTTTTTTAATGTTGGCAAGTCATACATATAAATGATTCCTCAAAGACGGACGTACCGAGAACTGTTAGAAGAGAGGACCACTGGAGTCTCTGTGTACGTTTCAGGTGATTTAGCTGGAGTTGTGGTCTCTGCGATCCCCAACCCCTATTTCAAGCTCCATTCCCCTGAAACATTTCCTCTTCGGCCAAATTGCAGCCCAACCCATGTCACTCTCCTCTTCTGTGTTTCTTTCTCCCAGCTTTGCTAAATCGTACTCTGAGAGGCCTTACTGAATACATCATCTCTTTTATTTTCGTATATATATTTTTAACATACCTTATTGATGTCACATATTGTCTCATTTAAGAAAAACTATAATTACAATAAGGAGTATATTGATACCATAGTAACAAATAATATAAATAAATAAATTAAATAATAGAAATATGGTACAAGAAATAATATCAATTTAAAATCGCATAAAAAAAAAAAAAAAAAAAAAAAACCATCTGCCTTAAGATACTATTTCGCTGGTACTGCCTAGACAGCGACCGCTCATGCTTGTCTATTTGGCTGAAACTGCTCACCGTCGCAGCCAAATCTTATTAATTTAGCATCCTAGTTTGTTATAATTTTAAATAGAAATCTTAGCCTTAAATTAAATGGTTTTTATTTGTATCGAAAGAGCAGCAATAGATTTTTTACCATGTCATGCCATTTTTTCTGGTATTTAAAGTTGAATAACAAGGTTAAGTTATGTCTTTACTATGAAATGTTAACAATTATCCACATATTAATTCCCACCTTCTACAAAATTATTGTTTCTTGTAATATTTTGAATATAAAATAAAAGCATTCATGGTATTAATAATATGATAAAGCATTGTTTTAATAACTGAGGATCTATCACCGATTTTAAATCTATTACTAATTATTATTTTGATAATTAACAGTAATTATTACATAACTGAATAGTAATACATATCGTATATTTGTAATGAAATCACAGCAGGCAATGTTTCATCGTTTTGTCAATAGTAATCAGTAAATCATTACTTTAATTAAAAAATACAATTTTACTTTTCAATGTCTGGATTTGAATATTTACTTGAAGTTAAATTTTTTTTTATTATTCAATGTCACTTAGATCTGGGTATATTTGAATTGCTCTTGTTACACCAAACTTTAAACAATTCTTTACTATAGCTGTCTTTAAATTTTAAATAATATTTAATTTAATTTTGCATAAGTTGATAAAAAAAAAAAGGAATGAAATGTATCAAGATGACTGTTATCATAAAAAAAAAAATGCTCCGATATAATAACATAACCTATAACAGCCGTGCTCCCAACAGCTTCAGCAGTCATGACTTCATACCTAGACTGCCGAGCAGTGCCAACGAAATAGGTTCCTTTATATTCCACTAAAGCAGTCTTCAACCGCCAGCAGTCGCTGCCGTTGGCAGTACCAGGAAAGTAGTACCTTTATCCACTTATATTTGATGATAATTTTCCTTTGATATGTATTTTGTGTGGTACATTAATGTATTTTAGTTGGATATTACATATCGTTTATCTGTATATTTCCACTGATCAGCTGTTTCATTATAACCTTCCTCAGCTGTTTTGCCTCACTTTTCTTCCAGTATGCGATTAGATGTCATGGAGTGATGTGATCTCGGGATTGTTTTCTTTTCTGTCCTGATGAATCTTGAATTGGCGAACATTGACGGGTCATCTTTACCTACATGGTAGCGACACAAAGCTGTATTGCTGGAATTTTTCAAATTATAACCTAAAAGAGAAACATTTTATTTTCATGAAATAGTGTAAAACAGTGCTTTTTTTTTTCTTGTTTTTCATACATTTTCTTAATATTCAATTTCCCTTTCTTTCCCTTTTCTTACTTCCTTTTTCATCGCTTTATATATTTCCCTTATATTTTTTCATATTTTTTTCCTAACCTAATTCATACTTTCTAATGATAAATACTAAAATGTTTAAAATTATACAACAATGACAAAAAAAATAATATATAGTTAATATGTTCAATAAATAATTGAAAATCTTTGTAGTATATGCATGCCCCTCCAATGAATAATCCCTCACCCTATCCATTCACGTGGTGGTGGATGATTTTCTGAGAGTCTAGGGCTACGCTTTCGGTTAAACACTATAACCTTTATGTCAGCAAAAAAAAAAAATCTATTTTGGGGGGAGGGTGGCTTTCCTCCCCTAGATCTACCAATGGCATGGGTATGAAATCTGCCAAAATACAATCCATATAAGTTAGAATACCAGTGTAACATCAGTTGTAGAAAAATCTTAGAATAACATATTTAAAAATACATTATGAACAACTGTTTATATTTAAGTGGCGATAACTAAGTTAATTTATGGCGGTTAGTAATCTAAACTGAGGGAGAAAGACTGGATTTTTGGCCTGCTCCCTGGTGATAAAAACCTGTTTGGTATTCATTCCCCTCTTCGCTGGAATCTCCTAACTTTTATTGGCCGCTGGCTGGAGCACTCCTATCTTGGCCAGATCCTCCACTCCACCAAGCCAACTGTTCTACAATTTAAAAAAAAAAATGATTCTGTTATAGTAAAAATACATCTAATACATGTGAACATACATTAGGAGATCACGAGGCCATATTTTTTTCAGATGCTTGTGAGGGTTATCAGTAACAGATGTAATGTTGCCCAACACTTAGCAAGACCAGGACCCTGACCGCCTTATTTTTGCAAGACCAAGACTGGAAAAAAAAAGTTTTGTTTATTGTTACTAATCCAAGACAATTTAAGTTACTATATGTAAAGAATTACTAGATCCAATATAATTTTTCATTTAACTCTTCTAAACTTTCATTTGAGTTAGGTTTTCCCATTTTGAAAAATGAAAGCAATATCTCTTTTAATTTTTAAAAGGTTAAATTTCTGACAAAACTATTTTAAAAAATCTGGCGTGTCCACTCACACGACTTTCCTACCTATTTCAGAAAAGTTTTTATATCTTTTTATATATTCATGAAGAAATTTAAAAAAAATTGAATTAGAATTATTTTCTTGCAAATTGATCAAAGAAAAGATTTAAGTACGATTTGTTTAATAAACTAAAGCAATGTAAACCGGCTTAAGGTAAATCAGGGTAAAAATTTCAACACTCTCTAATATTGCTGATCAAAAACTTTTTTCCGTAGCTTAATTTTGTCAAAAAATAATTTCTGCTAAAAGTAGACAAAATATTGAAGCATGTGTATGTGTGATGCGGGAAACATATTTTCTTACTTTCACTTAATCATCATTTTTCTCTCATTTATACGTTTCTTACACCAGGATATGATCCCGTTATCTTACAATGGAAACTGAATAGCTGTAACTTCGTTAATAGTTGTCCGAAATGAACAAGTTTTATAAGTTTTGTAGGGAATTTCATTACCTTTCAAAGAAATTTTACCATAGAATATATACTTTTTCTCCTCAAAACATTTTTCTTTTCTCTCTAATTTTTTTCCTGATTTTTTTGGGAAATAAGTCCATTTACATTGCTTTCGTACATCAAATAAATCGAACTCTAATGATTTTTCTGATAGGTCATCAGAAAAATTAGTCTAGTTCAGTTGCGTTATTTTTAATGAATATATTTCAAATTTAAAAAAAAGTGTTTAAAATCGACCGGAAAGTCATGGGCACCAATTTTGTTATTTAAATAATTTTTCCACAAATCCATCGAATCCCTCACGTATCCAATCCTTACAGTCCAAAATCCTTCGTAAAATCCTCAATTCTCCTTACTTTGTCACTAATAAAATCATCCATAAAGACTTTAATGTTCCTTATGTATCTGACTTGGCCCAATCCAGATACCTATCCTTCCTTAATAAACTTCAGAACCATCCGAACCCTCTCGTTTCTAACCTTGATTCCTCTTCGATCCCTCGTAACCCTCCGAGGTAACTGAAAAGAAGATGGCCTCGAGGTCTCATATTGTAAATACATTTTACCGTAAATACAGTGCTACCAGTGGGTAGTTTATCAACGAGTGTTTTCATGTTTTTATTTTCTGTTATCACAGTTTATAGTTGTAGATATCATAAATTAAAAAAATAATAATAAAAAAATAATTGGTGATATTGTATAGATTGTATTTACTATACAACTCTTCCATTTCAAGGTAGTGGCCTGTCGCTATCTTTTTTGACAAAGCCTTTAATGTATTGTAAAGTTAATTTTATTAATTAGATTAAACTTTACTATATTTATGTCAATAAAACATCTAAATGTTTCTATTTTCTAAGATCTAATGTAATATATTTAATAAATTGCAATAAGCTAATAGGTTACGCCAAGAATCTTGCGAACTTTAATGCAGAACGTCATAAGTCCAAGAAGGCGTTATTATAGTTACTTATAAGGGTATTTTGTAATTAATCGTAAGCTTAAAGCGTTTGTCTAGTGCTGAAGTAGCCGGAAACATCGAGCCATTTTTCATCGTTTCACTCTGTTATGAAGATTCTTCTAAGTTAAACCTTTGTCCAGGTGAAGTCCTATGCATCAGATTTTCTCGACATAGATAAGCAGAATATTATTAAATGATACTACAGGACAGGAAGTCATAGGTTTATGGCAAAGGGCAAAGATGATTTGATGAGATTTATTGGAAATTATTTTAATTTTTCAGTTTTTATAAGTTTTCTGTTATGTGAGATAGAAAAATTTAGGGTATGTTTTAAATATTAACCTATTATTATTAATTTTCGTTATTTGTATTAACTGTTTTATCCTTTTCTTTTGTAGAACATCCTTGACAAGTTCAACCCTGGAGCCCGGCAGATGATTAATGCTGGGAAGGCGTACCTCAAGGCTCTACATGGTGAGTCTATTTATTGCTTTATATCTTATAAATAAAGTTATATATTTATATAAATATATATATATATATATATATATATATATATATATATATAGTTTTCCTCTTATTTTTTTTTATTTTTTTAAAGAATAAGGCTTTCAGAACCATTCGTTCTTATTCATGACCAAATATCATTTTAAAATTGTTTCATTATTGTTACATACTATCTGAAATACATAATAGCATTGAATGGAAATGGCTAAGAACAGTTTTAATAATTATGAACAGTTTTACTGGGTTTTCCAATTAAAAAAAAAAAAAACCATTAATGTAACGAGTGTAAAACAAAATATGCGCTGTGGGCCCATCACACAACGTTTAATTCAATTTTCAATTTTAACTCTGTGTAAAAATTGGTCTTTTCATGCATTGTTTTATTTCGACACAAGTGCCAGTTATAAAAAAGGCCGCTATATTTATTTATATTCTAGTCTTATTTTTTACCTAAATTGTATTATTTTTTGTTTTATTGGTTGCTGGCCAAAAGACACCCATAAAATATGTTTTTATTATATTTCATTCAGTTATTCGTAAACAATATTATAATGAGTGACATATCCTTAAAATATTTCAATTTAAAAATAATGAAATTTGAAAAAAGTTTAAGGATGGTTGATTTATTATAATATTTTTTACAGATACTAGATAATGGATCAAGAAGTCGAAACTTCGAAAATAAATAAAAAAGAATTTTATTGGTGACTTTTGGCCAAAAATCAATGAAATAAATAATATTTATATTTCATTGTTGGTATTTTTATTTGTTTAAATACAGATATAATGTGCCACTTCCATTTCGTCAATTTTGGTAAAAATATTGTTACATCCGAAGTATATAAAGAGTGATTTTAGCTAAGCTCTACACCTATTTCGAGGGACTTGAAATAGAATCAAATCAATGAGCGAATAAAATTATTAAAAAAAAAAAGAATGGAAGTAAATTGATGTTAATTAAATTAATAAAATGTTTACATTTATCATCAAAAAGAAATTTTAAAAAAGAAAATCTTATCACTAATATAAGACATGGTAAAAAAAAACTTAAATAATATCAGATATATAGAATAGAATAGAATAGAAAATTAAACTTTTTTCTGGGACTAAGTCCATTTAGAATAACAATGATGAGTTAATACAAAGTAAAGTAGAAATCTGGCCAAAAACTAACTTATAAAAAATTTAATATTATATACATTATTTAAAAAGTATGTAACCAGTAAAAAATAAAATATATATACAAATGAACATAAAATATTCTCAAAACTACTTAATTGTGATGAAAAAAAAAAAGAAGAGATATTACATATTTATATATACATAACTACACAATTTATAAACAATAGGCTATCTAATAGAAAACTAACTTAATACAAAATATAATAATATCTACAGTGGTTTATATAATAATATGCAGACACTAAGATAAAATAAAATCTTAGGATACTTGTGGTGTAATGGAAAATAAAAAATAAACAAATAAAAGGAACTATTTATACGTACATTCTCATAGTGGCACACATAAAGACAAAAATATAAAATAAAATCATATATACCCGAAAGAAAAAGCACAACCTGAGGAGAAGAGAAAAATACATAAAATTATATATATATAGTGTTTAAGTATAATCTCATTTTTACGTGGTAACCGTCAGTGAGTGAGGCAGCTTTATTTGATGACATTGTTTATTTTTTTAATATCAGTTTCCGATTGTCAAATTACAATAACCATATATCGATGTAAGAAAATCGATTTTTTTTTAAACTTACTCACTACCCAAATTGATCAACATTGCAAATTTGGTTATTTTGACCGACTATTCATTTGAGGTTTGATGTCTTATTTCGATTCCTATAAGGCGGAATCAAATTCAATATCTATTGGGGATTCAATGAATACTTCTGTAAATCGTTTGACATTAAAGTTATAAATAAATTCTGTGGTTCTCAAATATATTCAGTATTTGAGTAAGATGCTTTGTACTCATTACTCAGAGTAGCATTTGCCTATCTCTGCTACAGGTGAATAAACATTTTGATTATTCTTCCTGTCTAGGAAATGAGAAGATGTAAAAAGTGGCCCAAGGAGTTAATTGGATATCCTTTGAGATAGAAATCCTTGATCCTTGTTAGAAGAGCTGCTAACTTATCGTCCTTTAGCATCGCCATTATTTTTTATTACTCCCCCTCCTCGCTCTCCTCCCCGATCTGCTATTGGAGGAGGATTTACTGCTTCCACTTCTGCTCTAAGGGTGGCTTCCTTATCCGATGGTAGTCCATGTCGGCCTAAGTCGGGGTGAAATGTCGGATAATGTTGGTCCCGATCGATCCTAACATCTACAGCCTACTGTTTCTTTTTTTTTTTTGTATTTTTTCATTTACAAGTGTCGTTTTTTACCATAAAATGAGTCTTTTATTTTTACTGTAACCTCTAATCTAATCATATCATTGTCAAACATTTTTATGAATTACGAAAAACTATATTTTCTTTTCCAATTGTTATATAAAAACAATATTTTTTAAAAAATTACATGCAAAAAAAATCCTGTGCCACTACAACCTATGAAGGATTTTGGGTTCAGTACTTTGAAAGAATGTACTATTTCTTGGTCAACGGTTGGTCAAGGAGGTTATTTGATCGAGATCACGCTCAACCTCCACGTTTTCCCAACGATAAATTATTTAATTAGGTTAATTAAGAAGGATCTGTCGACCCCATGATCAATCCAGGACCGACGAAACAGAATATTATTTATTGAGATATTTTACAATCTGTCACATCTAAGGACAATAGTAATAGTGATAGAAGAGTAGCTCATTCACACTATGTACAATAAATAAACAGCAAAATAATAATACTGAAAGTTTCTTCTGTTCATTTTTTCTACTTTTGGTGTCTTGAAGTTTTTTTTATTTGTTTCAATAAATTAGGCCATTTTTCACCAACATTTTATTATTACGCATCAATTTAACGTTTCGACCATACTAAGGGTCATTTCCAAACCTGGAAAATTATAATATCATTATTAGTTAATATTCAGCAATTATAAAATGAATTTCTTATTACATTTAATTGAATTGTCTAACGTTCTATGTCAAATTATTTCCGATATACTTAAATTTATATAAAAATATACATAAAGTATACACTTTTTATTAAAAAAACCCTTACATGTACGTAACTATAAACATTAAAACTCTAACAATTAAAAACAAATGACTATTACCTTGATGAGTCCTCCTAATATGTTCATCCTTAATGTTCTAATTAATATGTTCAGTGAACATTAACTTGTCAATTTTTATAGGGGCTTCGCCCACGTCATTTCTGGAGGGACTGACTTATATCGTCCTGGTGGGGATAGTCAAAAGGAGAGGGATTTTCCTTCTAATGTTTTGCATTGGTGGATTATTATATTATTATATACGAATTTTATTAAGTATATTTGCGTAAAAAGTATTTATATTGTCCACATCTGTATGGTTGTTAACAGAATTTTGTAATTTTTTTGTAATATATATAGACTCTATAATCTTTCTTTTATTGTTACTACTTTCCTTGTATATTATTTTGGCATTTTTAAAATCAAATTGGTGTTTGTTATATGTTGTATGTTGTAAAAGGCCGGTTGATGTGTTTGATTTGGACTTGCAATTTTGTTCATGTTGTTTCATTCGTTTTATGAACCATTGTCCCGTTCGTCCTATATAAGATTTATTAGTGCAATTTTTACTATCTATTTTATAAATAAGGTTATTTTTCATGTCATGGTATAATATATTTGGTATTGGTATACAATTTTTTCAATTTTATTTACAGGCTTTTTTCCTAATACTAATACTAAAAGTAAATGTATATACACTAAACTAATCAAAGTAATTACTTGTACATACGTGCATTTATACAACATTTTAAAAATTCATTCACTCAAAAACTTCGAGCCAAGCCTTCCCCTCTCCCCATTCGTGGAATGAATCCCTGCGCCTCTCACTCAGACGCATTATTTCTATTAAGGACCATTGGAAGCTGACCAGAAGTGTTACATATAGACATGTATGGCTTGAGTGGAGAATCCGGCCATTGCCAGAACTCCAATATATTCTTACAGCAGGTCTCTGGGCTACAGCCGCTTTAGCCTTTGGATGATATGTAAGGGCAACGAAACAGAATAAATAATTTATCTGTCATCAGCCGGATTCGATCCCGGGACCTCTATAATTGGAAGTCAGCACCCTACCACTAAGCAACTCCACTCTCTTTGTATCATGTTTTTATATCTTGTATTTATAGCATGTTTGCTGATTGTCAATAAAAGGTGCAAATACATTTTTTAAGCAAAAAAAAAAAAATGCAGACTAATAGTATTATGTAAATGTGTTCATTTTTCGTTTAATCATATGATTTTTTTTTTTGTAATTTATCTGGAAAGCAATATCACATTTAAGCGGATTTCCGCTTTCATTTTTAAATCTCATTTATTTTTTTCACTCTCCGCCCCCCCCGCAAATTAATGCCCTGATTTCCTTGGGATTCCAAGCGGGTACACAGAGTTCAGCTGCGTAATGGAATGAATAATATGTTGAGGGGGGAAGTGAAGCGGTATTTCGGAAACTTTTTAAACTTTTATTTCCTACCAAAGTTTTTTTATTTTATAGTTCATTCCAAATAAATCTAATCATGTTTGGTGTATTTTGTATAAATAAATATATCTTTTTGTTTACTTAACAATTTTGATACATATTTTCAACAACTTAAGTAAATATATTAAAATACTTATATTGTGACAAAAAAAACTTCGCTTGGTATGAATAATATACCATATGGCAAGATTCAGGTTACAAATTTATAGAAATTATATAACACTCTTTATTATAATAACAATTTATAATATCCTGTAAAATCCGCAACTGTTGTAAGGTATAATAACCTATAATTAGCATTAATAATGTTTGAATTATACCAATAATATAAACACCAAAATACACGAAATGAAAAGGATATATATATTAATTGTTATTTGTAAACTTGATAGAATTTTGTGTTTACAATAAGCCTTTTTATATTTTATATTATAACTCTATTCTATTATGCACTCTTTTATTATACATCCGGTTTGACAGTTTATCTTTATTTCATAATGATATTTTTTCTCTTCCTCTTTTTATGTTATTATATATATTTTTTGTTAAACAATCGTTTGGTTAACTGCTCATATTTTTACGTCATAGTCGTAGTTCCCAGATATATGATTAAAAAATAAAATTATTTAAGAAAAAAGGAAAATAGTGCAACTGGCTAAAATAATTTTCTGAAATAATTCACAAATAATGAACAACATTAGATATTTACATTGCTAAAATTAATTTTAAAAATATAAATTTTTTGGTGTTTAAAAGAACAGTCTACAGCATATGTGGTGAACCTGTAGGCTTTACGCTGTATATGGCCACAGTGATGTAGTTGGAGCCTCCAAACGTTTTTGCGCGATATTTATTAATTTAGTACTAGAATTAATTAATCTTTCATTTTTCAGAAGCAAACATTTTCAAATTAATAGAATTAAGTTGAATGTATGTTTGTGGGTGTGTGTATTAAGCAATAAATAAAAATAGCAACACTAAAATATAAAGAATAGTTGGGGCTTCCATTTTCACTGCCTATTTTCACTATTTTCGTTGGTGACCTGCTAATTGTTTATCCGAAATGCTACTCAGTTTATTTCGAATGCTGTTTGTTCTCTGAACCTAGACAGATAGTTTTGAAGAAACATTTGTTGTGATAATCAACTAATACAATTTATATACTTACTAATATAAGAACAGTTATATAGTAGGATTGATACTATCGTGGGTCAGCTATTCATTATTAATTTATAGCTTTGAAGGCCTTATGATTGACTTTTAGATTAAAACTGTAGTTTAAATCTTTGCTTTATTCTATTTTTTCAAAAATAATTTTCAAAAAGATACAGTGGGATCGGATTGACTATCTGACAGTGTCAAAGTTCTGCATTGAAAGGTTTCTGTTATCTCTTCTACCAGCTGCCCTTTCTGATAGCGGCTCTCTGTTCATCAAGCTCTGCTGGCTTCGAGTTTGATAATATTTTTAAGTCTGGAGTTTAAATATTGTGCTTATAATGAAAAATATAGGCTAAATTTATTTATTTGTCAGTACGCTATTGAAAATAGGTTCACTAGTTTATGAACCAATAATTAACACATTTTTGGGTCTATTTTCCATCCCAACATACATAATAACAACAATAATCTTTATTAATATTAAAATACTTGTATTTATTTTGTTATCACGTATATCTTTAATGTTACGGCACCTTGGCCATTTTGAAACATTTCTTTATATATACCATAGATATAAATTCTTACTATGTAATATGAAAAATTTGCTATTTTCAATTCTGCAACTTAACGATAGTAATTAGAAAGAATACAATAGAAAATTGAACTTTATTCTCTGGGACTAAGTCCTCTTAGAAAACAATGATGAATTAATACAAAAGAAAATATGAATCTTGCCAAAAACTAACATTATATACATTAATTTAAAAAATAGTATGTAACCACTAAAAAAATGAACAAAAAAAAAAATAAACAAACATAATATCGTCTCAAAATTACTTATTATTGTGATTCAAGAAAAAAGAAATTACATATTTATATATACATAAACATTTATAAACAATAGGCTAACTAATGAAAAATTAACTCATTAATATCAATAAATGAAATGAAATTATATCTACAGTGATTTACATAATAATATGCAAACCTTAAGAAATCAAATATCTTCTCAGGAATACTTGTAGTGTAATGGCGAAAAAACAAATATATATACATACATACACATATTGGTACATATAGAGACAAAAAGTATTACCTGGATAAATAAAAATAAAGTAATATAATCAAAGTAATGACAGTATAAGTTAATATATAAAAAGTAGGCTGAATTAATAAACTAACGCTATAAAATAATATTTTAACAGTTAAACAGAAAATCGTCTCAAACGTGACTTGGACTATAGAAAAATAATATAAAAATACATAAAAAATATAATACATACATATATAAACAGATATACTTAGAAAGAAAGAAAAAAACAAGACCTGAAGCAAAGTGAAAAGCAAATAAGTAGTAAAAATAACAATCAAAATAGGTGATTAAAGCCATTGATATTTTATGGTTAATACTTAAACAGTAGGCACCATTACTAGTAGGCCATTTACTTCGCATAAATATGATTCATAAAATGATATTTATGGTTGCGAATCGTCTGATATT